TCTATCTATCTATCTATCTATCTATCTATCTATCTATCTATCTATCTTTAATCTATCTTTCTGTCGTCTATCTTTCTATCATCTATCTATCTATCTATCTATCTTTCGGACGTCTATCTTTCTATTATCTATCTATCTAAATATCTATCTAAATATCTATCTATCTATCATCTATCTATCTTTCTATCTATCTTTCATCTATCTTTCTGTCGTCTATCTTTCTATTATCTATCTATCTATCATCTATCTTTCTGTCATCTATCTTTCTATTACCTATCTATCTTTCAACTATCTTTCTGTTGTCTATCTTTCTATTATCTATCTATCTATCTATCTATCTATCTATCTATCTATCTATCTATCTATCTATCATCTATCTTTCTATCTATCTTTCATCTATCCATTCCATGCATACATCTATCTATCTATCTATCTATCTATCTATCTATCTATCTATCTATCTATCTATCTATCTATCTATTTATCTATCTACTGCCATCGATCTTTCTATTATCATCCATCTATCCATCTATATCATCGTCAATACTATCTATATATGCATTGTACATCTGTGTACAGTCTCTCTCTCTCTCTCCCTCTCTCCCTCCCTCCCTCTCTCTCTCTCTTCCATTTATCTTACTATCTTATTATCTTTCTATCTTTCATCTTTCATCTTTCTTTCTTTCTTTTTTTATTATATTTTTTATTTAGAGAAATAATAAAGAAAATAATGGCTTGTGCAGAATCAGATAAGTTAACCTTAGAAATGAAAAATAAGGGGGAATCAGGTTACTATGAAACATGGAATAAGTTTTTATCAGTGGCTACAAAAAAGAAGGGAAGGCCGGAGGGGGGGAGGGGGAAATAGAATGAATAGAACCAAAAAGCAAATACTTTATCAATAATATGAAAGTTAGTGGTTTAGCAATATCTTTGTATATATGGTATATGTAATGCCAAAACGGTAGCACCGTTGTATACTTACGGTTGTAAGCAACTGGTTCATATTTATGACGGTTGCAGTGTCCTGGGGTTACGTGATCCCCTTTTGCGACCTTCTGACAAGCAAAGCCAATGGGGGAGCCACTTAACAACGGTGTCACTAACTTAACAATTTGCAGTGTTTTGCTTCGCAACTGTGGGGGGCCACTAGCCCAGGAAAGCGGACTTTAGAATCTAGCTAAGTCTTGCAGCAGTTGTTAGAGGTGTACCGTACCTTGATTATCCCATCTTGCTATCAGCGGTTCTTCAAAATAGACGACAGAATCGGAAAGATGGATCGTGATTCCCACAGTCACAGCTGAGTTGTCTTCAGATTCCTCGCAGGTCGCCGTATAGGGGTAAGTCTCTAATCCTGTATCCAAGACCTTCCAAGTAAGGAATGAAGAAAACGTAGCTGTGTTATAGAAATAACTCCACTCGTACCTCTTCTTGATTCTAAACCAGGGGTGTCGAACTCGATGTCATCAGGGTTGGGTTTGACCTTGGGAGGGGGTGTGGCTTATCCAGGAAGGGTGTCATCAGCTTTACGTCACTCGTGTTGGGGGAGCCTGTGGGGGTCCAAGTGCTCTGCCAGCGAAAACTATGGACCATGGCCCACTACCAGGCCCCGGGCTGTTCAAAACTGAGCCGCAGGAGAAATGGGCAAGTGTGCATGTGTGAAGTTCCACTCGCATGTACAAAGAGCTCTTGTACTCACACACGAAGCTCCATTCACGTGCATGCAGCTTCATGTGCAAGGGCCCTCCACTCACACAAATAGAGCTTTGCACGCAAGCGCCCTTCGCTCAGGTGAGTGGAACTTCATGTGCAAATATAAGGACCTGCCACTCGCATGAGTGGAGGTTTGTATGCGAGTGCAAGCATCCTACACTCACCCACAGGGCTTCATTTGTGCATGTGGAGGGAACACGCCGCTTACACAAATGGAGTTGCGCATCTGTGCACATGCCTGCCACTCACATGCCCCCTGGAGCGCTGGGCTAGCACATTCCTCTCCAGAGCTATTCCCCATTGTATGACTGTTTATTCTCTTGTAATCCCTTTTTCTCCTAAGGCAGGACATAAAAATATATTAATTTTAGAGGTCCCAAATTTTAAAAGTTGATATGTTTAAAGTGCTTATCTGAGTTGAAGAAACCACAACATGTTTCTTGCTCAGTTGCCTAGCTAAGAGTTTCCTGTTCAGTGTGGTCAAACTTCCCTGTCTCGATAGAATACCTAACATTATACGCGCAAGGGCTAATCTAAGACATCACAAAAGTGAGACTTAATTGTTAAAGTCTCAAAGCGGGGAATAAGGCAGGACATAAAAATATATTAATTTTACAGAAATAATGATACAAGTTTTATAGATAGTGAAATATGTGGTATTAGCAAGAGAAAGAACAAGGAAGTGTGAAAAGCCAAACCACAAGCTAGAGAGTTTAGTTATATTTCTGTGTTTTGCCCCTTTCTGAAGAAGTATATAGGCATGTGCTGTTCTATAAGAAGTTTGTTCAGAAGTGACTCTCACTAAAATACTCTGAACCTGTTTGCGCAAATAAAACCAACTTATTTTTGGATTCCAAGGTCTGAGTCTCTTAATTTCCTGCAACACTCCAAGGACCATAAATACAAATACCTAACTGTCAGTGTGTCTTCCTTTCTCCCCCTATTCTATTGTATTGTCCTCTTTCCCAATTCCAGTGTCCTTCTTTGTACGTTCAGGTATCTAGTAACCCCATCCATACTGGGGCTGACAGGGGCTTTGTACACAACCCTTAAATCTCGGACAATATAAGTTGATCTGGTCTAATGTGTAGGTCAAATGAAGCTTTATTTCTTTGATGAAAGCACCCAATATGCTTTCTCTCCTTTTTTTGCTAAAAGAAAGTGGGGGGGGGGGTCAAATTTGGGAAGGAGAGACCCTGTGGCAAGCAATCCCTTTTCTCCGCCCCTCCCTCTTTAAGAGGAACATTACTTCCACGATGGTCCATCCCTTGACTTGCTTGGCTTGAGGTGGGAGCTTCAGCAAATCGCAATAGTAGACGCCTCCCACTGTCATGAACTGGTGCAAATCCACCGTGTAATCTTCGAGGATGTCCAACTCGCTGATATCGAAGAGCCGCAGGGCTGAAACGTGAGCTGGAAAAGGACAGACAGAGGGGAGGTCTGAGCTTCTCTGTAATTCTAAATTGCCAGCAACGCCTCATTTCAGCCAAAAGAGCAGCGGAAAAGCCAGGTGACCGTTCTCCTTGCCAAGGCCTGGCAGCCTCTCAAATGGATTGGCCACAGTACCCGAAGATGCTGCTATGTTTGCCTTTTGGGCCAATGAAGAAGG